CCAAAATTGCCCACTGTGCGCGGTGATGTTTCATAAATATAATAATAATCATTTATTTATTTCTACCTCTCTGAACGGTAGTTTCTTCCCATTATCCTGTCGAAGTTGTTCGATGCGTCATTTAAACTCGACAGCATTAGGCAGGCTTGGTTGACTAAAACCAACGTGAAATGAAGAGTCAAGAAATGAATTACAGAAAAGCTTTACCTCTAAAACTCGAGAACGATTTTGTCTATAGCCACTACACCGGGTTTAGATAGTGCTCGACGTAAGTTAAACTCCATTATTGAGAAAAACTCCAGAAGTAACAGCCTTTGCGAGGTGAAATTCCGAGGGGATGTTTCTTAGTGGCTCACTCTCCCGAAAAATTTTGTTTTTTTCTAAACTTTTACAGTAAAGTGTCTGTTTCAATTCGAATTCGAAGTCTGATATATGGCAATTTGAATTCGAACCATGATGAAGAATTTTTTTCTTCTAAGCTTTTACGGTTAAGTATCTATCGTAATTCGAATTCGAACCAGTTCGCAGTGCGATGAAAATTTTTTTTTTCTTAAATTTTACAGTAAAGTATTTTCCCCAGTTCGAAGTGGGATGAAAATGTTTTTTTTATCAACTTTCACAGTGAATCCTGTGTCGCAATTCGAATTCGTACCAGTTCGAATCGGATAAAGAAATCTTTTTCTGATTGAGCTTGACGGTGTAGTGGTTTTTGCAGCGCTTATTTTCAAACTGGGATTAGACTCTTGTGTTGTGGATTATATTCGAATCAGGCAACTCATGGCATTTCCGACCAGATTCCGAAAAAATTTCTTTTTATACTTAAGCAGTAAACATCGTGACGTGGGCGCTTGCAACTACCTGACCCAAGGTTTAACCCACCAAAGCTAGCTGAAGCGTTTGAATTGAGAGCCAACCAGTTAAGTGCCCACTGAATCATCCGCTTGGAGCTAGCAAGCGGGCACTTGCTCGACGCAGCTAGCTATGTGATCTACAGTTAATCGAGCGTTTGAATTATTTGATAAGGTATATTTCTTCGCTTACTCCTTTTTGCCTAGGTATACATTTGACAACTGATAGTGAACTTTTTCATTTTTCACCACGTGCATGCTACATGATTGAGTTATCGCACTGGCCATTAATCAAAATTGTTGCTCTTTCCATCTGCGCGACATGATTCAGATTTTCAAAAATACAGAAAAAAGAAAATATATATTGAAGTGCGATGGGTTCCTTCGACATAATGGCAGAAGCATTGATCTTTCATAAAATCATCTAGATGGTTTAACAAAATTAGATTGATTACTTAAGGGGTAGGAAACCCGAATGTGAAAAAGCTGATGCCGTGATAATATATAAACGGCCTCATACTATAACGTAAATTAATTGCATCCAATAATAGAAATAATTTTGCCATTTCTTTTACTCAAATCGTGATTAGAGAAAATAGTTTTGTTAATCCTTTCCAAAATGATATATATTCCATGCTGAAACAACGTAGATCATCATTTCGACTGGGCATGTCAAAGAGACGGTAGTTTTTTGCATTATAGGGTTAAACAACTGTGGTTGTTTCACCATAGCCAGTTACAGCTTCTTGCCTACCTAATAAGGAATTGATTAATGTGCTTTTCCCGGTCGATATAGCACAGAAAACCCCGACTTTTAAATCTTTAATTGTTGCGCCGGTGTTTGTAGAGCTAATTTAACTGATACTTTGGTTTCCTTGTCAAATTTCTTTAAATCTTCAAGTGAATCAATATTCTGATAGTTAAGTTTATTGACCACATCTTTGTATTGTACTAATAATTCCACATTTTGTTTTATCAACTTTTGGAGTTTTCCTCGAGAGTTATTAATTTAATTTATTTTATTCACGAAAAGCGCGAGTCATCAAAGGTCCTCGAGCTAGAATAACAATGACTGAGCCACATACAAACAAAGTCACAAAAAAAAGGACATAATAAGAGATATAAATATTAAAAAAGGGAAACAGTAAGCACGCTCTTCGAAAAAGTAAAGAGGAGACGATCGGGCTTCTCGCTTCGAGTTCTGCTAAGATCAAAGATCCCACATAGAGAACTAAAATGCCGAAGAACTCATTTTCAGTTCTCTCATCACTAAATATTGAAAATCAATTATGCGCATGATTTCAAGTCAAGCCCGTTTCTCGGAAAGTTCAACTAGTCGCTACAAGAACGATCATCGATAATTTTTCTCCGCGTCGTGTAAGTTCTAATATCCCTTTCGGACTTGGTTACACGACGTTTTACTTCGAGAACATGATGTAAATCTCCCTCACATTAGAAGCCCATCCCATAATAGAAGCCCAGTCCGACAAGAAATTTTTTGAAAATTGCCCTGCCCTCGTAGGGTACTTTTTGAGAAAATTTTGCCTTTCTTACGTGACATAATAGAAGCCCACTGGGCTTCTAATGTGGACGGGTGTTTAATCAAGTTTTGACTTAGAAAATTGCCCATTTCTTGTGCAGGATAACAACTTTTTGGACTAAAGGCATATATGTTAACGGCTTGTCCGCGTAATGCGACAGTTCGCTGATAAAGTTTTTGAAAAAATGATTTTAGAGTAGAACTGAAAACAGCACATCACTAGATACAGTTTTTGATGTTAATTACTATTTTCTAGTTACGATTATCTAGTAAAACAAGCTTAATAAAGATTTTATTATATTGACATTATTTGATGAAATGTAGTTGAATAATGAAATAATAAGACAAACAAGTTCATCAATCATTTTATTTTTTATTTTTTCTAAAAAACAATACAGTGAAGCTTTCGACTCCTTTCATAGGGTCATTTTCAACACTAAATTTTTAAGAAAGAGATTACATATATATATATACATGATAAAACAGTTCTTTTCTTTTTCTTTTCTTTTCTAGTTTATTCTTAAACATATGAAAGGAGTCGAAAGCTTCACTGTATTGTTTTTTAGAAAAAATAAAAAATAAATGATTGATGAACTTGTTTGTCTTATTATCTAAAGATTTTATTGTTCCTTGATTACGGCATAAATTCATCGCATGTGGAAAGTCAAAAATCTTATAAAATTTTTTAGTATTGCGTACAAATATATTCTGCACCACATTTCAAAGGGTTCATCAGGTTGACATAATACATCAACAATGCCATTGTCGTTTATGGCTTCGATCATAATGATCCGATTTACTTCATGACATATGATGACCAGTTCGTTTGATAACACGTACTGAACTAAAATTTTTTCTCAGTAATGTTAACTGCGATGTCGCATGACAGTACCAAATCTACTTCGTCTATTTCACCAGATAATAAATTTAAATTTCCTAATATTTGTAGAACATTTTGCATCTGATCTAACGGTGATAGACTTTTTAAACCTTCGACAATTCGTTGTACAGTGCTATGGTACTTCAAGCCACCAAAAACATATACTTCATTAATGATAAATATAACTTTATTGATCTCGTCTTGAATATCGAATATAATGTTATATAGCAGTGTTTCCGTATCACGTTTAATCCTGGCAAAGTCATCAGATTTAAATAGTCTAATGTAATGTAATAAGTTTACAATAAACTGAATTAGCTATATAGCTTGCTAATATTATGATGGAAGAAATTTCAATAGTTTTCTACGAAAACCTTTTTTTGAAACGCTTAATGCTAGTGCTTCAAGTCAATGCAGGAACACTGACAAAAAAAACTTGCTTCTTTTGCCGCGTGGTCTCACTACAGAACGCCGTTTCGTAGTGAGACCACGCGGCATCTCATAACTAAACAAAATGGATAATTTTTTAAAATTCCACTGCTTTCGAAGTAAAATTTTCTATTTATTAAAAGGTAGCTTAATGAATTGAGCTTGCGCATATTGATCGGTAGATCTCTCAAGTTTCTTCCTGAAGTTCTTTTGAAGAAACATTGGATTTTCCATGAGAAACGGTGCACTTCTTGTGAAGAAACATCTGGTCTCTGCACGAAAAATGATCAAGTTCTTCTCACGTAAGCTCGATTTACCCCGGAGAAAAGTCGAGTTTCTTGTGAAAAACCACAAAGTTTCCCAGGAAAAGAAGTGAAGTTCTTGTGAAGAAACATCGATTTCTTCACGAGAAAACATGAAGTTCTTTTGAAGAAACATTGGGTTTTCCATGAGAAAAGGTGCACTTCTTGTGCAATGAATTCACTTACCGATTCGTTGGATTTTTGAACACATTTATGCCGCTGTTGTTTCATCTGTGCGATTCGGAATGGCGATGTAAATTGATCGATGAAAATGTTCTGGAATGTATCCCACTCATCTGAAATTTTTCGTTGAGCCCGCAGTTGTAGGAACCACTCCAAAGCTGTACCTTGCAGAAACTGGGACATTCCATTTAGGAGTTGTTCTTCATTCCAACCATAGACGGTAACCGCGACCGTAATAAAATACCATCACTGCAAGGCCTTTCAGTTTTAAAATCGTTATAACCGTGTTGTTAGTAATGATAGTACGTATGTATCGAGACTTTCTTCTGCGAGAAACTAGCTTGTATTAGAATATTATTAGGGGATGGCGTGAGAGCTCAATATAAATCAACCGAAGAAAAAGGGAAGAAAGAAAATAATATATCTTCGCGTAGCTGTGAAGGTTGCGAGCCTGTAACAATTATTCTTATAGAATTTCGAAAGCTGCTCTCCATTCCTAGCTTTTATTCTGTGTTAAAAGGCATCGGGATTACATGGAGCCGTTTCCTGCTGTGCAAATAAAAGTTTGTAGTAAATTGAGGTCAAGCACAGGATTTTCAGATCTAAGAATTTGATAGATAACACATTTTCTTTAAACGATCGGTAAAAGCGGCGTATGATGCACGCCGATTTATAATCACTCTTTCTTTTCATCTACTGTTTTAACAGTACCAATAACAATTGCCATTCTACCATCGATATCTCCACCTTGTATTTCAGCTACGTAAAATTCGATTGGAATTATAATTATCGCAAATGCCACTTTCGAACCATCTACGATGACTATTGATACTCAACAGAATCTGATTGTCACCGATTATGTTAATAATATTCCTCTACGAAAATTTTTGCCAAATGGCACAGCCGTCATATATCCGCCAATCCAATATGCAAATGTGTTTGATGTAACTGTTGATTGGTACGATAACATTTATTTTTCTAGTGACAGCCTGTGTATTGTTCAAAAACTGGCAATGCCAAATGGCTCACTATTAACAACTGTAGCTGCGAATGGTACAAGGGGAAAAGGACTGAATGAACTTGACTCTCCATCAGGTATTTATGTTAATCGAAACGGTACGGTGTATATTTCCGATGAGGATAATAATCGAGTCATGCGATGGCTGTCGAACGCCTCTGAAGGTACTATAGTTATTGGTCAAAATAGTCCAATAGGGGGATTTGGCCAAATCAGCTAGGGCGTCCTCGGGGAATCTTTGTTGATGAAGTAAATGGAATTGGTGCCGTGTACATTATTGACTGGGGAGTTGAAAGAATACAAAAGTGGTTACCTAATGCAATGGCCGGAACAACGGTTGCTGGTGGAAATGGCTACGTTTTACACTTGAATCAGTTAGGTGGTCCAAGCGCAATTCTTGTCCACACAGAAAATTCCGAAAAGTAGAAGGGTTCATTTCTTCGAAAAATCAGAACTTTTTGAAAACATGTAATATCTTAGCTCCACAAGGGCATGGAACCTTCAGAATATGTTTTTCGAAATCACCAGCAAAAACTGCATATACGGAAGTGTATTTTCAGGCTCCGGAACCACGAGAAGCATTCGATCTTTCATCAAACTTTGGATCACTCCAATTTCGGCATCATCCACTCGCATTGATAGAAAATTGAATTCTGATTGAAATGAGACCCTTCCATGCATTTTCTGCCTTATGGAGCCTTCGCAGAGCCCAAAAAACCGAGAAAACCGATTAGAAATTTCTTACTAATCACTTTTGAATTCGTTTCTTTAGACTGGAAAGTACATAATACTCGCAAGGATCTCATTTTGATCAGAATTCAATTTTCTATCAATCTAGGTGGTTTCCAAAACATTTCGTTTTGAAAAGATTTTTTGCAGACCGGATTCGCTAGAAAACCCTTTTGTACGTTTCTGACAATCCGGAAAATGTTTTCAACGGATTTTTCGCTTTGTTTTACTAAGAAACCCAAAGTTTCATGGTTGTGGAGTAGAAACTGCCGGTGGGGCCCTGCAGGTTGCGACTTTTTGGCAACCCATAACGTAACCTATAAAAGTTTTCACAACCTAATCTAACCTAGGTTAACCTAATGCAACCTATGCAATTTTTTCCCAAACCTGGTTTCAGGAGTCTAAACTTCAGTTTTGTTCCATATCGTTATTGTATCTTATCTAAACACCGTCTGATGGGTAAGCTTATACAAAATAAATTCCATTTTACATGAATATAGAGATGAATCGGTTGAGTCTTTTATTCTTTGATGCAATCTTTGGAAAATAGCTTTCTGAATAGGGAGACACGCCTGAATAGGGACGTATTCGCCTTATTTTCGCATTATTTTGTGTATGGTTCAAAATCGTTTTTTTTTCGTTTAGGTTAAAAATAGGTTATCAATGGCGTCACCTACAATCTAATCTATAAAAAGTTTCATAGTCTAAACCTAACCTAACCTATAGGTTAGGTTTAACCTGCACGGCTCTAACTGCCGGTTTTATTTGCAGATCAGCTGGCCGATTTTGGTCAAAAACGTAGAAAAAAGTATAGGTAATCAACCTCGGTGAATCTCGTGGCAATATTCGATGCGAGCGCAAAATCCTGGGATCTAGTACAACTGCTTCAAAGTGAAATAAACCATATTGCCATGAGATACACAGAATATTAGAAACTTCATAATTACGTTAAAATTAGCGATAACAGCCTGGACACAACAAGAAGCTCAGAGTTTTTCCTTTCAAGGTGGCCTGGAAAACCAAAAGCTTCCTTAAAAGCTTCTCCTAGTTTTTGTATTATGGCATACGTAGAGCGACCACAAACCAAATTTTCTGAATTTTTCGGATCGTTCTGATCAGTTATGACGAAGTTACGAACTCAGTACAGCTTAATCGCATCTTACTTTTGTCAAAAAATTTGGTAAGAAGTTATCAAAAATATTTTTTCCTTTTTCAGCAGACTAAACGCAAAAATAAAAGTTCTAAAGCCTATAACTCCGAGACGAAGCATTTTCTGTGAAAAAAATTTCAGGATATATGTCACTCGATGAGCTGTACAACATATTACAAAATGAAGAGGAGGTTACCCCCTTAACCTTCTCTTCTCTCCTCAAGGTTGCTCAGAAAAACGCCGAAAATGCGAACATTTCTTCATAGAAAAATATATGCTAACTATGCCCGTTTTATTCATATCGAAAGGGTTATAACGATTGAAAAGTACAAACAAATTGAATTTTTGTATACGAAAAGACATAGTTCTTTCAACTTTGCCAGTAAATAATGTTTTAATATCTTGGCTTTTTCCGAACACTTGTATACTTTAGTTGCACATAGGTAAACTATGACATTCAATGATGCGGAAAGAAAACATGACATCATTCTTTCATTCCTCAAAGACTGACGAAAAGCGAAAAACTTCATACACACTTTCAGTTAAAATTTAAACAATATTGTCTTTGGAAAATATTTTAATAAATATTGTGGATAGTCTTTCACCAATAATCATGGCAGAAATACTAGCTACACATATATCATGCTTAAACGATGAAACTTTCATACAATGAGCGGTTATTAAATATTTTAAAGTTATTTGTATTATTGATGAAAGACTGCCCACAATATTTATTAAAATATTTTCCAAAGACAATATTGTTTAAATTTTAACTGAAAGTGTGTATGAAGTTTTCGCTTTTCGTCAGTCTTTGAGG